TGTATGTATATACAGGATAGTTAACATAGTTAATCTACTGTCTTCTATTTCTTTGCTGAAAGAAACTGTCAATGAGTCCTTGATTGATCAATATTTCATGTCTCTTTGTTTTCATGCGAAACTACTTTGAAGATATCAGTATGTAATACAACAAGCACTGTTAATTTTCTACCACTTTATTTGTAACTCTGTATTGTTTGTACTGTTCTTTTGCTATTTTGTAAAATCTTGTCTGTTAATGTTTTCCTCCTTTTATTTTTAAAATAAAAAAAACTAAACCACAAAATGTTAAATTTGTATTGATTCTGAAAATAAAATTTATGAGATTTAGAAAGATTTCGCCTACTTCTAATATACTTAGATTTACTTGTATTGTCATATGTAAGTCTGTCTTATTCTTTTTATATATTGATATTTTTGTTTTCATGGAAACTAATACACTTAATTATATTTCCTACACTTAATATAGTCGAGGTATACTCCCCATAAAATATATGTCAATTTAGAAAACTATATGTAAATTTAGTTCAACAAGGAAGATGGTTTGAGAAATTTATTTCTTGTCATGGCATTTTCAGCTATGAGTAACATAATTTGGCGTACTTCTCTTAAAATGAATCATTTCCCCGATCTTTTTTTCTCCACAAGCATTTCATTAAGTCAGCATTAGTGTGTTTTTGAATGCTTACAAATTTCACTACTGATTCTCTTTACATAAAAACTTAAGCAAAACTGTGAACTATGAATTCAAATTTGTTCATAGACACGGTATAATGGGACATTTTAAAATTATTACTTATAATTCTTGACCTTTTATGTGTTTTTGTTTGTTTATTTGAGACAAGGTCTCATGGTATAGTTCAGGCTGCCCTTGAGTTCATTATGTAGTCCAAGCTGGCTTAGAGTTTGCAATGATCCTCCTACCTCAGGCTCCTGAGTGCTGGGATAACAGGCAGGCACCACCATGCCTAGCTTATGTGTTGCTCATCTTGAGCAACCCTTACTACATTTGATCAAGAAAATAAAAACTGCAAATATACTAAAATATGGTCGTTTGTAAAAATATACAGAAAATGTGGTCATTTGTATAGATATACAGAACACTTTTCATGTGAAAATAAAGTAAAAATAGTTTCACCACCATCTATTTCAGTAGTGGTGAGCCTATAGCATGAATATTATTTGTTTTTATTTTCAGATAAAATAAGTTAATGGAGAGTAGTTTTTTTTTCTACATGTACACTTGGAACACTGAATGAAAGTCCCATACACCAAATCCTTAAGAAGTATATGTGCACACATTAATACATGGGACTCTGCACAGTTAGTTATTATAAAGCAAATTTGAAATCAAACTAAGTATGCTGTAAAATCTAAGCCTGTATCAGACAGAGCTACCTATTTAAAATAGCCAGTAGAATGATGGTTTTAACATGTCATGATTAATCATAAATAGAAGTATTAATAAGTTTGTATAGAAAAATCTTTAATATTAGAGTTCTGTAATTTTTCTTCACCATATATTTTTCCTTATCCTCATATTATTCCCTACCACTTTGTTTGTAACTCCATATTGTCTGTACTGTTCTTTTGCTATTTTGTAAAATGTTGTCTATCTGTTAATGTTTTCTTCCTTTTATTTTTAAAATGAAAAAACAAAAAAATTTTAAAAAAAATTTTATCTGTGTTTTAATGACATGAAAGTTCATGTCATGTTAGGATCTTGGAGTATGACACACAGGGCAAATATGCCTTTGTGGCCACCTCTGCTGATCCTAGTTAGAATTTCTGCTACCCCTAATCTTTTTGATATATTAATGCTTCTGCCTCTCTGAAATGACCTTTAAAAATGTGAACATCATTTATTCTTAAATATCTTATTCTGTGTGCATATGGTCTTGTAGGACTAAAGCACAAAAAATACTTGATGACATAGGTTATAATCTCTACTCACAGAGGAATTCCTGGAGAACAGAGTGAAAGTTCTAGTATTAGAGGTTATGCTATACTGTAAGCATGTTGTACACCAAAGGTACCCCTCTGTCTCAAAGCAAACAGAATTCCTCTGAGCATTTGCTTTGTGGCAAGAACTGTACTAGGCATGGAAAAGTAAAAATACAGCAACTATTTGTCTTCAGTATTATTTAATGTAGTTATAAACAATGTAAAATCTTGGAGTTTAATAATTTTTGGTGTTAAAATCATGATGGAGGTGGAACTTAGAAACTCTGTAATGGGGATAAGGTTTTTGAAAATAATTATGATTTCACTGGTTCTAAAAGAATGAAAGTAGGGGCTGGGGATTTAGCTCAGTGACAAAGTGCCTGCCTGGCAAGCGCAAGGTCATGAGTTCGGTTCCCGGTACCGGAGAAAAACCAAAAAATAAAAATAAAAAATAAAAAAATAAAAGAATGAAAGTAAGAGGGACAGAGTCACAGACCTGTAATCTCAACTACTCAGTAGGCTGAGATAGAAGGATCACAAGTTTAAAGTCAGTCTGGGATATTTTAGTGATATTCTACCTCAATGTAAAAGTGAAAGCAGCTGGAAATTTTAAATTCATTTGTAAAGCACCTGTTGGTTTAATTCCAAGTGAAGATGGAAAGGAGGAGGAGAAGGAGGAAGAGGAAGAGGAAGAAAAAAAGGAAAAGAAGGAGGAGGAGGAGAATAACAACAACAAGATGAGGAGGAGCAGCATGACGATGAGGACAAAGAGGATGAGGAGGAGAGGGAGAAAAAGAAATAAAAGTTATAGTTAAGGGGAAGGAGTGTGTGTCTTAAGGGCTAATACTAGTGAGTAGAACAAATGAATTGCTAACTGAGTGAATAAAAAGTTTATTACTGTTGTTGCACACAAGGTCTTTTTGTTTCCTAGGTGGATGGGGTGAATATAAAATAGAGGCCATAAATGTATTCATAAGACATGTTCTTACCAGTGTCATTGGCAACCTCATTTTCCGTGCAAGGGGTGCAGTCAAAACAACAAGCACCCTTTCCCTCCTGAGGGGCTTTTCTGAATCCAGGATTGCAGCTCTCACTGCACACAGACTGGGGAGTCTGAGGGAGAAACTATACCTTGGTGAGTTTTTAGACATTTACTTCTTCACAGCTATAAATGCAAACAATTTTTATACATGCATATCAATAAAATACAATACTGTTTTATGTAATAAAATAAGATACATCAATATTTGCAAACATCTGCTTAAAATATGTTACTTTTCCTTTCATCAGAAAAGTGGTAAATAAGAAAATCCATCACACTGGAAATTGAATTGTCTAGCTGTCAAAAGTGGCCATATCCTGAATAAAATAGGGTGCACAAATTCTACAAAAGTTTAAGTGTGTGTTATGGATGAGATGAAAATACCTCTGTAAAATCAGAGCCCCACTCTATTATATCATCAGTTATAGATAATTGTTGGCTAAGAGGAACACGTGGAGAAAATGTTCCTAATTTGACCTTCAGCCTAAGGCCTTCTGGAAAATTCCAAAAGTTGAGAATATCATACTCTGAATCCAGTTTTGATTCTTCATTTAAATTCACTTTCTCTCCAATGGGATTGTCAAACTGAATGTTCTTCAGAAATGGGTGCAGCTGAAAGAGACACAGCATCCTATGGTGAAAAGGATTCCATGGCAAAGATATAAAATTTAAATGTGGGAAAGCCCCTAGTTATTTTTAATTCCCTTTTCATTATGCACATGTAACATTGGTATATAATAAAAAGCAAGGAAGAAAAGTCTATAGAGTGGTAAAATTTTTAAATGTCCCTAAAATGTCATACATTTCAGACTAAAACATTCATCTATACCTATTTAAATAGTGTGCATGGGTATTAGGGGAAAAACCAATTGTAGAAAGGAAGAATCTAGCCACTACTTTTTCTGTTTCCACCATATCAACCTGCAAAATGAGGCTATCGTTCTCCAAATTGGTTCTACAATTAAATAAGAAATTTCACAAAATATACACACTATAGGATTTAGGAACACCTAATTTCATAAAGTATTACACATTTTCCTGTTTTTCTGGAAGTATATTATGAAAAATGCTTACTTTTCTTAAAGAAAAATGTAGGTGGTCAGAGCATTAACTTCCTTTAGACCAAAGCAGTGATTTTGCATCATATCTATTTCCTTCTGCCTGCTGATCCTTGATTGATGACCGTTTCTGCCCAGTTCAAGATTTACCTCTTTAACAATAAGCATGGTATACAATGTTTTGTATTGTTGCAGAAAGGATTTTAAACTTCTTAGACGCAGGACACATGGAAAAACTAAAATAAAAAGGTATCTTAATGACAGTGCATGGCACCCAGTGGTAGACACGTTACCTGCCAGGGGTAAAGCAGCCTTTCCGCATTTCCCACTGGGTATATTTCCACTTGTTGGAGAAGCAGCTCATGGAGGGCGTGGGCCACAGCATACACAGCATTATATACATTGTAGCTCCTGTCACTCATGGCCGTGTTGAAACGACTTAGAGGCAGCCATGCCAGAGAGGCATTGGGTGTGCAGTTCTTCAATGAACAATCAGAATCAGAGAAAGAGCAGTGGAAATTCTGGAACCAATACATAGTGAGGTAAGTGTCTTCTGGATATTTGAAAGGGTTTGCTTCCTGGACAAAACGCTTGAAATCAGAAATTTCCTCATGATAGTTTGAAAAAATGAGAGTCCCATGGAATGGGTCAAGCATAAAATTTTTCCCAGACATGTCAGCATGCCATTGTGAGTTTGTGACCCAGACTCTACAAGTCACTCTGTATTGCCCTATGTGATAGTTTATATCACTTAGACCATCGGTGTCATAGTAAATGATACCCACGTTTACCGGTGATATAGTCTTCGTCAGGATATCACGGTGTGGATGGCTGTTGACATACGACACAAGAGGAGTTGAGATCATTTTCACAAATGCTGCACAGACTCCATTCCTGTCCATCTCTCTTCTCATATCTGAGAGAAATTTGAGACCTTTCTGACCTTCTGTAATGATCAGTCCTATCCAGGTCCAGCTGAAATGAACCATCAAGGAGACCATGCCAAGGGCCAGTGACGTTTCTTTTGGGGCCACCTGATAGAGAGAAGGAAACCCGTCCCTCTCTGTCAGTGTAGGATCGAAAGAACCACAGGAAACCTGAAAGGAAAAGATGTCGGAAGCAGTATGAACAGGAGTGTTGACCTAAATCCCAATCTCAGACCTGAAAATTACTAAATAAAAGCTGGAATTGGTAGGAGAAGGTATTTTTCTTCACATCTTATAATCATCTCACTTATAAGAGCTTTTTGAAAATTATCAATCAGATGTAAATTTCCAGAAAAACTCTGGAATTTCTCTCCCTCTTATTTGCTGCAGAAAAAAACTAACTGAAAACCCTCTGTGCTCTCGCTCTTTGAGATTATCCACTTTGAAAGATACGCAAACACAGTTTCCTCCTCCCACCCCTGAAAATGGCACCTGAAAATCGTGCAATTAGGCACCTGAAAATAGTACCAAAAATTCAGTGGTACCCCAGTTCACAAACCCTTTTCTTTGTGAACAATCTCATTCACAAACAAAAGCATTTGGTTTAATTTTGTTTTGTTTGTGAACTCTACATCAGGTGACGAACATGACCACAGCCCTCTTCCCCACATATTCATGGCCATCTTTTCCATAACCATAGGGTGAGTTAACCTCATGAACTGAGATGCCACTGTACATGGTATCACCCTTTCTCGCCACAGCTCTATCACCTGGGGAAATTTGTAGAGCTCCAGCAGTGGTCCAATTCGAGCAGCAGTGGCCCATGCTGTTCCTGTTAGCACTGCTACAGATTTTCTCTCTCTCCCACAGCTGTAATTAGGAATTTCATCCTGTCCACTGAGCAAAATGAGAGGGCTCTTCATTATCATCCAGTGACTGTAAAGGAAATTATGGAACTCATGTCCCAGAGATATGTTGGGTAAAAGATGAGGATTCCTGTTGATCTCTTCAATGGCAAAAATGAAGGCTAGAAAATTCTGGTAATTGTTGGGCATAAGCCTGCATAGAAAGCATAGAAGTACTTAGAGAAAAGACTCTACTATTATTTTCTTACCTAATCTGGGATACTTTAGTTATGCATATTTTCCACCCATGGAAAGATCTATCTCTCATTTTATTTGTTCCTACCTGCATTGAAATAGTTGGTATTTAAATTAAAATGTTAAGGTAATATCATCAAAATATATTCTAAAAAGAGTTAAACAACAAGGAAACTTATTCTGTCTTTGGTAGAACTAGCCCCATGAAATGAGATTAATTTTAGTTAAAGAAAATAGCAACACTTAGGTTCTAGAAGGTCATTTTCAGGTTCCATATACATGGAGAAAATTCTAAAGGGGTGGGCAACGAGATCACCTTAACATTAGATTTGTAGATGGTCCTTGACACCAACAGCTAAAATAATTGGACATATTAATACATTATTAAATGTGTCCACATTACAGCAATGATATTCATGTCAAGTGAGAGATATCAATGAAGAGAAAAAGAATTTTTAAGCAAAGGTCTGGGACAAGCAGAAGAATATGACATCTGTTGGATGATTATGCTGCAGCAGAAAGCTTGTAGTTCAGTGAACTAAATCTGTTGTCAGTCAAAATTGTGTATCTGCCACCACCAAAAACCAAGATGTATAGAACAAATGAGGACCTCTAAAAAAAAGAAATCATGAAAATGCATTCACATTCGAGAATAGGTTGATGCAGTGGAGGACTGCGAAAAACAGAAATCTACAAAACAACCTTATAATTTTAAACATAGTATTTTATACTTTAAAGATATCTAACTAAAGTCAATGTAAAAATGTACACTTGTAGCAGTGCTTATTCCTACTAGCCCTTATCACTTCAGCTTTTGCACTATTTTGAAAACAAATACTCTCCCAGTCAATGACAACTTCTTGCATTTCTATTCAGTGACATCTGAAATTTCATTAAGAAAACAACACACTACTTTTTGTATTATTCCTAATGGCACTGTGTGTTGATTCTTGGTCAGTGATATAGGTAATGTTCACTTCTTATTAATACTCCTTTGTGAGTAAGGGAAATGTGTGTTCTTACTATCTGCAGAAATGTAGTTTAAAACCCTGACCTCCTACCTGGAAAATGCTCTACCTCTGACCTACATACTAGGCCCACAGTATAGATTCTTCAGTGTGGGATATAGCTATCAGTATGTGTTTGAAAAATTGGGCTTCCTAATTTAATTTTGAAATATTTTATTAATACACAGATGTCACCATTTTTTGACGACCATTGAAATTTCCCTATATAATGCCATATAGTTATCATTGTAGTACTTCTTATTATTTATCCTACTTATTCTCGTCTTCCTGAACAAAAAAATGTTATCTTTGTCCTTTTTCTTCTTTTTCATTTGAAAATATAATGTTAAATATAATACTAAAATATTATAATATGTAAAATAACAACTACTTATTTTGTGATAGTTGGATACTTCATACCATTATGAAGTTGCATGCATTTTAAAAATATCTAATCATCCTCTTTAGCTTTACATAATTAATTAGTAATTAACATATTTTCCATAGTATTCTTCTGGCTGGATTCTGCATAGTAATAGATTCATAGTTACTGCCCTATTATGTCTGTGAATGTACCCATATTCATTTTGTTTAAGCATCCGTTGTACACAGAATATAAGTACATTGATAATTTTCCTATCTAATTTGATTACTTATATTTAAATGAAGTCTTTATTCTATTTACCACTTGTTATAATTTATATATTTTCTTTGTTTATGCTCCTTAATAATTTCCTCTATATTTTCAGATAATTTCTGAATAACTTTCTATCATTCTTATTAATTGATTTGTACATGGATTTTTTATTTAAACTTTATCCCCTGTACATGGGTGAGATTTACATTCCATAATTATGCACAGGGGTCCACCCACAAGAAGGTACAGGTGTTAGTACCACCCGTATTCACTGAATTACAAAACTTTGTGTAGGTCGCAGTCATCCCACTCTTTTAATAAGACCCTCAGAGATTTCCCTTCTGTGGTAAAATCTGAAAGTTTAGCAAAATCTTTTATCAAAAGATAAGTGGAAAGAGACACATACAACAGTTGTCTAAAATCCTGTGCTCATGTGGCTTTCAAAATGAGCTAAATATAAACTACCTGAAGGGAAGAACAGAAAATTTAAAATTGTCATTAGCAAAATGTTTAAATTACTTCTTGATAACCTCAATTTTGGAGAAAGGAAAGAAATGAAAGTACATTAACATCTTCATCTAACATTGGAGATTCAATAGGTAGGACTTCAGGTCATGGGTTTATAACAGATGCCCCTTTGAATTAAAAAATTCAAGGAAGGCCCAGCCTTGTTATTCTCACCTGTTCTCTATGAAAACACCTTCAGGCAAAAATTATTAAATAGGCAAAGTTGAAAGCTTCATTATGAGGTCAATAAAAATAAATCCCTGTCTTTGAGTAAATAATATCTATTTGGAAATTATGTATGATGATGCCTTTTACCTTTAATTATGTATTTGTGGATCACACACATAAATGTCTACTTATAAATCTCAGACATTCTACCTTAGAAACACAGAGAAGCCAGTAAGTTAAACTAGGTTTTATTGTCAACAACCATGCAAGATCTAAAGATAATCATTGAAGTCTCTGGAATAGACATATCTTTTGGGCAGCAACAGAAATTCTGATCCATTTTAAAGAGAGAGGGAAAAAACAATAAAAATGATATAGAATTCCAAAACAAGATGGTAGGAAAAAAAGAACAGCAGATGCAAAAACACTGAAAAAGAAAAGGAAATTCTGGTCCAGTGACTCCTCAGAGAGCAGGCAGATTTGAAATCTTGTTGGTTAAGCAACATGCACAAGCACACAAATATGTACCAAATGGGCCAGAGGGTGTATAATAATATCCACTCTGAATACAAATCAGGCAGACAAGCTCAAATACCACATAGCATCTCTCCTTTTAGTGAGGTGAAGTATAAGCAAAGAGATCAATTAAGGATGGAGAGAGGAAACAAAGGGATACAGCTCTGGCAAATGGGAAGGGGTTCAAGAGCACACGGGTGAGAGGAGAGGGGGAGGGGAAGAGGAAATACGTAGAATAAAGATGTGCCACGTATAGGAACCTAATAATCTCAATGAATGTAAATGTTTTATGTCAAATATGAGATAAAATTAATAATATTAAGAAGAATAAAAATGGGGAAAGGAGTTTAGAAGATAAGGAAGGAGTGGGTGGGAGGGGATTAAAAAAACAATCGAGCTCTACTATGTACGTGCACTTGCTCCCCAAGATGATTGAAAACTGCATGTACAGCAGACATGTACTAATAGAAAATTAACAAATAATAGTAACTCTGATGAATTACCCTTAGGTTGTACAGGAAACCCCACGTTTAGATTGTGGTAACCGAGAGCCCAGAGACCTATGCACACAGGGAAATGATGGCTGTGTGAAAAAATATGGACGCAATGGATTTCTTGGTGTGTAAACCAAAGGAAGGATGTGTGTGTGGGAAGCAAGCCTTCTCCAACAAGAGAAGGACAATGTAAAAATGTGTAAGATAGTTTAGTATTAGGTGCTAAAAGAAATCAGTCCAAGGAGAAGTAACCAGCAGATGTTTTCATGGGAAAATTAAGAAAGTAGAGATTCAGTCCAGCCTGATAAAGAGAAAAAGTTTGAGGGATGACAAGCATTAACAACACTAAGTAAGAAAATGAGACTATGCACAGCAGATTCACAAAGGCTACTGTAAATTCATAGCGTTGATCTACATAAAGATCTGTTTTTGTTTTAAAAATAAAAAATATAATCACTTACCAAAGCAAATGAAATAGAAAAGGAAATAAAATTATACAAGCATTGATAGAAGGTTTCAATAGATGTGAAATAAAAATTTTAATATTTACTGAACCTGAATGGAGTTACAGTTCAGTTATTCCTAAAGTACATGCCTAGAAGTCATGCATGGTGGTGCATGATTGTAATCTCAGAAATCTGTGAGTCTGATGCAGAAAAAAACTTCAGTTCAAGCCCAATGTGAGCAACTTAAAAGTTTAGCAAAACACTGTCAAGAAAAAGAACGAGGAGGAGGAGAAAAGAAGAGGAAGAAATCTGGGTTGTAGATTGATTTCAGTCTCCAGTATGAAAAAATATTGACTCAACTAGAAAATTCTTAAGTAGAATACAAAAAGTATGTTTCTATAAAATTAACACAAGCTTGCTATAAACATTCAAAATAAAGTTCAAATGAAGGATCAAAATATATAGCTCATTAGAAATTTTGATAGATTTGCTAGTATTCTCACATTTCTGAACAGAGTAAAACAGTTAGTTCATGAGAAAGATATTTGCCTAATATTATTTGAATGTAAGTAAGCACAATCCTTCTTAACATTTATCTGTGTGAAAATATACAGGAAGTGATACGCGTATATCACTTGGACAGGATTAGAAGATCATTCTCCTAGGACATGATGGATTACACAGAAAACTACTCTAACCATCCACACTAGACAGATCATTTGTTATGAAAACTATGAACTACACTATGAATAACACATGCTCTCCTTTGAGTGTTGTGGGATGAAGATCTTAAGAAAGTGGCATCAACAGTCTTCCCAATTAATATAGATGAAGACAGTATTTATGGAAGGGTCAGAGAATGACTTAGTATAACATAAGTATTCAGTAACTAATAGGACAAGTAACTGAATGGAGAAGATGCCATCAGTATCTCAAAAAGCCTAAGACTGTTCACCTCATAAATCTAAGGAGAAAACCTGAAGAGGACCCATGATACACACAAAGTGCAACGGCCAAACAACAACTGTGTAACTAAGAACGGCCAGAACATTTTAATGATAAACTCAGCAAGTTAAAGCATTTGGGGGACAACGCATCTAAGATAACAGAATTCTTAACAAAAGTTGTAAAAGAAAATCTAACAAAGCCATAAAATTCTAACAAAGTGCATGTACTGTAATCAAAAATGGAACAAATATGGTTTTTTATGGCAAGAGGAAAAATACTTCAGAAATATCCTGAAACACATGATATCATGAAACTAATCGTAAAAAGGGATATGCACAGCAAATTCATAAAGGCTAAAAAAAGGGAAGAATGATACTTTAGGGAAAATAAACAAACAAATTTAATATTTTAAACAAACCAGGAAGAACACTGGAAGATTTATATTTATACTTATATTTATATCTATATTTATATTTACAGCTCCATCATCTCAGCAAGTGCCATGAGTAATTCAGAGATTTCCCTCACTCACGCACCCAAAAATCCTAGTGACCTCTCATTAGGTTGAAAACACTTCTTAACATCAGGAAATAAAATCAATGTTTGTACAAAAATGCATGGGTAATGAAACCAAACAAATTCTGGAAAGTTATAAAAAAATCCCTGCCTGTAATGCCAGCTGCTCCAGAGGCTGAGGCAGAAGAAATTTTAAGTCTGGGAGTTTCCTACCACCTTAGGCAAACGTCTGAACACGATGAGGAACGTGAGATAGGCAGTCACTGTCTACACACGGAAGAGGCCCCGATTTCTCCCTCTGCCATCCCTGCTTCCAAAGATGGGAGGGGCCACAGCAACACTTGTGGCCCGGGGATCTGATAAAAGACATAATCATTATTTCAGTGACACTTCCTACTGTTTTGGGGACACAAATCATCCCCTACTATCATCTGAAACACCACAAAATCTGGGATCTCATTATACATTTTCTACAAAATTGATGTGATAGTATCTGCAAGCAGAGAATATGTGTGTCCAATTGAAAGACAATAAAATGGAAGGTTAAAAACCTCACAGTTGGCTTATCCCCATTTCTGGCCTATCTTGCAGCTCCAGAAGACTTGGAGCACACCTTTCATGAAATAGCATTTATGTTATTTGAAAGAATAACAGAATATCTACAGCAGTAACTTTCCCCCAACAGCTATAGTATAAATAGCAGTGGAAACGATGTAGGGATGTAGGTAGTTTCATGCACAATTAAGGGGCAATAGCAGACCCTGGGTTTTATACAGTGATATTCTTCTGTAGCCTCATAACCCTGAATTCAATCATTTAATGCCTGCAGCGACCGATCATGGAGGAAGAGCGGTATGGCTAGTGGAGTAAGGTGGAGAGTGGTGTCTCCCTCATGTTTCAACCCTGAAAACAGGAACATAAGAAAGTGAAAATAGAATATCACCTTTCACCTTCTAAAAGGTGAAAAGGAGTATATGCAAATTCAAAATAGTTTGCAGACAGTTATGTGCCCAAATAGGTGGGAAGGACAGGGTAGGAAGCAATATGGACAATACTGATAAACCTGTCCACAAATTTCCAGGTATTATCTATCCTAATAACACAAAAGAAATTGAAAACATGAAGAAGCCGCTTACTGCATGGTAAAGAAGTCTTTCTTAGGCTCCAGGTTAAAAATACCAGTGAAATATAGAGATATATAAAGAGAGAAAGTACCCCCGATCAGCACATCTCCATTCCGGTGCACGCTGGTGCCTCTTTTGTGAAGGCAGGCTTCGTTCTCAAAGACACACAGTAAGACAGGAAGCTGCAGGAGAAAGAGGATGACAGTCAAAAGGGACATGTCAGCAGTGTGCTCAAGCCCTTAGGTCTGAGCGAGGACGAAGCACAGTGTCAACCAGGTAAATAAACAGAGTGAGTGTGTGTGTGTGTATGCCCCTGTGTGTTATTGTTTTCACCTAGATGGACACTTTTAAGCCCCTGTCTCCTTTCAGCCAAGCGCATTTTTCCCTGGTGGAATTTGCCACCACTTTTCTCCAGGGCCAGGGCTGTATATCTGAGATCAGGTGTTCAACTAAAAAACACAAGGTGGAAATTATATTTGCGTTTCATTCTGTCCACCTGGAGGCACGGTGATCTTATCCAAGTCCACAGATAGCAACACCGCAGGGGCCACCTCCTCTTGGGCAGATAATCCTGTGTCAATAGCCATTTTCACAGACACGCAAGGTTTTGCTGAGATATTGAGCTACATGATTCAATATTACGTTGAGGAAATGGCCCATGCTCAGCCAAGAACCTTTGGGTACGATGTCATCCGAAGCTGAAGATTACAAGTCACAAATGCACACATTCAAGGTTCAGAGGAGCCTCGGAAAACTTCCTGTGTGGCCCGTGCGCTTCTGTGTCTAGCCACATATGCTAAGACTTAAAGCCGTTTGTGCTCCTGTTTCAGGTGGCAATAATTACATTAATACCAGAAAATCCAAGTTGATAACTTAAGGTCAATGCATGAATAAGTTGCATTTTGATTTATATTATTTGGGTTCTTCCCTTTTGCAAAGTAGTTTTGAATATTCAGATTTCACATTTTAATATATTGTACTGATCCATTTCTGCACTGACAACCTTGAGTTTTTCCATTGTTTGGGTTTCCAGGGGAGTTTACCTGTATGGGAAACCAAAGAGGAAAACTGGAGGTTACTCTTTTTTTTGGACCAGGAATTAAACTCAGGACCTTGTGCTTGCCAGGCTGGGAATTACTTCGTATTTCACATCACCCAAAACATTAAGAGCAGGGTTACAGAGACAAAGATGGCAATCTTTGAATTCAGTGGATTTTTCAGGAAAGGAAAATCTTACATGACAGTGTAGGGTTGAGTATATATGACTTTAAATTTGTCAAAATATAAATAATACTGAGCACAAATAGTAAATTCCAATGTGAACATGGCCTTTACTTATTAATGTATCTATATTGATTTACAAATCGTGATGTGTAAAAAATAGATGAATGTTGAATATGGGAAAGAACCACAGTATTATTATTAATTTTTGTAGAACTAAATTTTTAAAAGTTAACTTCATGTTTAAATTAGTACATATTTGTTAAACATATTCTTCACATTCATAATAGGGAATTTTATTTCTTGATGGTAGCCATTCTTTCTGGAGTGAGATGGAATCTCAGTGTTGTTTTAATTTGCATTTCCCAAATAATCAGTGATGTTGAGCACTTTTTCCATCTATTTACTTGATGTTTGTACTTTTTCATCTGAGCAATGTCTATTCATTTCAGAGGCCCATTTTTGGACTGGGCCTTCAAATTTTGGGGGGAGCCTGATTTTTTGAGTGTTTATGCAATCTAGATGTTAGTGGGTATTGAAGACCCCCATTAAAACTGAATCTAGACAGACACACTATTCTATAGAGAGTAAAAAAATAGGTAGAGATTTTAAAAAATAAAGGACCTTAGGAAAGTCAAAGAAACCATGAATGCCCAACATAGAAAAGAACTGGACTCCATATCGGATATTCATATCAACTAGTGTTTGTTTTATATAGTTGGGTGAACCTGTATTTGGTGAATATATACTAATAATTGTTATCAGTTCCCCTTGAATTGTTCCCTTAACAAGTATGTAGCGACCTTCTTTATCTCTTTTGATCAGTCTTGGCTTGAAATCCACTTTGTCTGCAAATAGAATAACTACCCCTGCTGTTTTCTGGGTTCCTGTTACATGGAGTACTTTTTTCCATCCTTTGACTTTCAGTCTATGAATTTCTTTTGAAGTTAAATGTGTTCCTTGTATGCAGCATACTGTTGGATCTTGTTCTGGATCTATTCTGCCAACCTGTTCCTTTTGATTGGTGAATTTAGACCATTCACAATGTTGGTTATAACTAATATGTATTGGCTTATCCTTGTCATACCATTTTCCTGTTCTTGGTTCCCTTTCTTTCCCTTTTATTTAATTGCTTGCCTTGCCTAGTGAAGTCATTCTATTGGGAATCTTGGAGTTGTCTTAATTGTCAGTTTCTAGATTATCCTTCAGAACTTTTTGGAGTGCTGGTTTGGAGGTTGTGAATTCCTTTGGATGTTCATTGTCATGGAAGCATCTTATTTCTCCATTAATTTTGAAACATAGTTTTTCAGGGTACAATCATCTGGGCTGGAAGTTGTTTTATCTCAGGGCTTAAAATACTTCACTTCTATGCTCTGCTTATTATAAGCATTTCAGTTCAGAAGTCTGTTATGATTCTGATGGGTTTCCCTTTGTAAGTGATTTGTTTCTTTCTCTAACAATTTTAATGTTCTGTTCTTGGCTTGAATTTCTGGAATCTTGACTATTATATGCCTTGGTGTAGGTTTTTTTTCTGATCACGACTATTTGTAGTTCTATATGCCTCCCTTATCTGAATCTCAAGTTCTTTTTCCATGCTTGGAAAGTTTTATATTACTTCTGTGAACAGGTTTTTTTAAACATCGTTTGTGCCATCTTCTCATTCTTCATTGATTCCAGTTAATGTTATATTAGTCTTCTTTGCATCATCTATCAGTTTTTGGATTGATCTTTTATGGTCCTATGATATTTTTAAGAGGTCTTTCATGTGAATATCACCAACCAAAAGCTGATCTTCTTGATCTGATATTGTATCTTCACATTTGTTGACTCTACTGCACAAACTTTCAGTAGAATTTTTAATCTCCTGGATATGTATTTGAATCTGTTTTATGGAGTCCAGTTCTTTTCTATGTTGGGCATTCATGGTTTCTTTGAGTTTCCTAAGGACCTTTATTTTTTTAAATCTCTACCTATTTTTTTTATTCTCTATAGAATAGTGTGTCTGTCTAGATTCATTAACCATTTTCTTCATTATGGTCATCATCTCTTTATCTCTGGTTTGTTATTGTTGAGAGACATTGATCTATTCTGTTACTTCCACTGCCACCATTTCATAAAATTCTGCTGCAAAGAGTTTTATTTTTTGCACCTCAATGCCCCCTTGATTTCCCTTGTGTGATTGGGAGTTACAGGTTGTATCTTGCTTCCATGTTTTATAATTTTCTGTTTTATTATTTATTTATTTTCTGAATTGAGGCTTGTAAATTGCTTATGCTAGGTAGCTTTATTATTAACATCAAGACTTCTTTAGGAAATGACTACATTTCAGAGATGCATTCTATGTGTACCTGGTTTTTAGCTTGAGTCAGTCCCAATTTGTTAGGGATAAAAGGTTGCTGTTTGTTTGGCCTAGCACCCAGTTCTTTGGTACAGGGCTATTGTACTACTTATGACTCCCAGACAATGTATGTATTGGTATATAAGGAAGATCAACTGATCACAACTGTCACCTTGGGTAAAACACTATAATCAGTGATAACAATATCATCACACACAGACTAGAAAATGACAAACTGTGATAACTATGAATTTGCCAACTTTAACCATAGGTACAAGATTTATCGTTATAGTTATATAACAATATCTAAAACAAATTAGAAAACTATATACAGTAAATATCCACTCCATAGAGTGATTTTACCATAAAGGAAGAAAACTGCAAAGGGATCAGTGGAAAAAATAGAGAAATAAAAGAAGAGAAAGAGATTCGAAGAACAGCTAAAGGATAAACATTAACCAGGCCTCAGGAAATGAGTGAAAACAGGAGGGAAAGAAAGAAGAAACAAACGAAGAAAGAAAAAAACAAAACTAAAACTAAGACAATGTTCACTCTCAGGAAAAAATAAAAACAAACAATCACAAACAAACAGACAGACAAAAACCAAAAGCAAGAAAAAAAATTTCCTGTGATTTTAAGCCTGTGGTTATCTTCTGACATCTATAGTTCTGTGGTAGTGTCCAATTCAGGTTGTAACTCTGCTGTCACTGGTATAGCAAGCAGTGAGAGCCCATATCTGCACTGGATAACCCCAGCAAGTCTGCAGTAGAATTAGGGGAGGGTGCCAGTTCTGGTACTGTCAAATCCACAGCAGTTCAGTCTGGTCTTGGAGTTGTGGCTTGATTTGTTCAGCCTACAATACTATGGTTGTCTCTTGCCAACCTGATCACAGCTCCTGATGCCCAATGTCTCAGGTTCAACTGGGTGTGCCCTAAACTGGCATCCGACCAAGCACCCTCTTCAGCAGACATGGAAGTAGCTTGGACTGGAGTCTCTCACCAGCCGTTGTAGGCCCAGCATCTACTGTTCTATTCCCCTGGTGTGTTTCTTCCTGGAGGTCTCTGGAGTCACCTGCACTTATGTTATCTCTCTGTAGGTTTGATCCTCCTCTCTCACACCATGAGCCAGGAGCCAATAAAAAGTTCAGATTGCCCCCTCCTTTTTCCTGTACAGAGGTTTGTATCTTCACTTTCTCTGTGTGCTCAAGTTTTACCCTAACATCCTTCCTGAGCTCTGGGGATGCATGTTGTGCTTTTCTTCCCCATTTTGTTGTTTTCCAGTGTCTGGATTCTAAATCTTGGAGAGGTTGACTTCTGCTTCTAACCACTCTGCCGTCTTCCTGGAAGTGTGTAAATCTATAAATTTAAAAATTAAATTCTATACATTTTATTTAAAAGTATTTTTCAATTTGTAAGATTCTAGCCTCATGCATTCATTAGCATTTGAAAACTATCTAGTCAAAATAAAGATAGGCAATAAGTGCAAAATCTTCAATGATTTTCAAATAAAATTTTGAGAAATAATGAATGTTCACAGTCAATAATAATTGTATATTAAGCACATAAAAATAAGAGTATGTTGAACTAATAGGTTTAATTAAAATATGTAATTAAATTTTTAAATGAATATCTTTCTTGTATATCAACCTTGGTATTTCAAGTTACATCCAATAAAAACACAATCATATATGAAAACATGGCTGAGATTGACACATAAATGCATGAACTACCTTACTGAAGGGATCCTTTCTAAGTTGGGTTAGAGTTGCTTTGGGTTGAGTTGTGTCTTCTGAAGACTGGAATTTATGAATATGATCTCATTTGAAAATTGGGTGTTTGTAAATAAAAAGGTAAGGCCATTAAGGCAAGCTCTGATGCAATATAACTGTTGTGTTTCTAACCAGAAACCTCTACATTATGACAGTAGTAGTGATTGGGGTGAATCCCATTTCAATCCGAGGTTTAAGAGCACCACAGAAATTATGAACAGAGTCTCAAAAAAATGATTAATTTGATGGAATCTTCATTTCAAATACCTGTATTACAGTACTTCCATAGAATATAATTCTGTCATTCTAAGCTACTAACTTTGTGATAATTAGTGTCCTTTAAAAAAAAAAGAATACAGGCATAAATAGCAGCGCTTCTGTAATAGACACTGGAGGCCAATAACAAGAACTTTAATGTCTCCATTCCAGGCAGACTGGGTTTGAAGATAACTTAGTATTATGTGCTCAAGTCATTGATATTTCTGAGCAGCTTTTTCATGAAGAAATCATTTCCAGAAAGCCCACTGGAGTTCTGGAGAAGCAGATGGAGTGTTTGAAGTGGGCTAATGTGTGGGGAATTTTTATGACTTTTGTCCTCCCATAGAGGAAAGATATCCCCAGGTGATTTGAATAAAACCCAACTGATGACTTCTTACTGATGTTTTAAAGAGAGAACTTTGTCCAATTCATGCTAAAACCAAGAAAATTTTAAAGACATGATTAAACATAGAGTGGATGTTGACAGTTAAAAAAAAAACTTATTCCATAAAAAAATTGCCAAGAATGATGGGGAAAATATGTTTAAAATGAATGAAAGTATTTTGAGGGGCTCATGGATGGCACAGCCTGCAAAGGTGTACGTCCTTTCCAACTATCCATCGCTCTTGCTGGCTCCTTATCACCATACCGTGAATATCTCCCTTTGTCACACCCCTCTGCCAAGTCATCCTGCCTTGGAGCCAGACAATTATTGATGGAACTGTGAGCTAAAATAAATATCTCTTCCTTACGTGGCAGGTATACGATATTGTGGCTCAGCAGTCAGAAATGTGACTGAGACAGTAATTAAGATATGGGAATTCAAGAACAGCTTCAGAAAGTGGAAATAATGAGGGAAAAGTGTGCTTAATGAATTCTAAAGAAGATTAATGGTAGTGTACTTTACTGTATAACTTTAAAAATTCTTTTATTTTTAGTTACAAAATCATATATCAGTAAACTTTTCTTTCAGCCAAATATTTGTCTGAAATTCTGCCTGTTCTATTTTCCCAATAAGAAATTGTTTATATTCTCACTTATAAAATATGCATGCAAGTGGAAGGTTACCAAATGTATGTGGGATAAGGAGCTATAACTCCTTACATTCATATGGGCCCATGAACAATATTTTGCAAAATGCATCAGTACATTTGAACTATGACATGATAGTTCTTAGAACCTGAAGTGAGGGACCTGGATCTTGAGTTTTTCTGGATCATGGTTAGCAGTTTAAAATCTATAAAAAACATTTTCATGAGTCCCAGTTCTGGTATGGATTTACAGAAGGCTAAGATAGCTGAAAACAAAACGCTAGATGGAAGAAAACATGAGAGAAGAAAAAAAATCCTTCAAATCAAGGTAGTAATTTAAACTTTAACAAGGATGAAGAAAAAGAAGTAAGTCAAGGTGTGTGTCATAGTGGTTGTCTATAATTCTAGCACGTGGAAGGCTGACACAGGGGAAGTGTGAGTTTAGTACCATCCTGGGCTCTGTAGAGATTTCAAGGCTAGCTTGCACTTTGTGTTAAGACATTTCTCAAAATGGAAGTATAAAGCCAAAGAAGAAGAAAAAATGTCTAGAAACCAAAAGTTAGTAGGTAAACTTGCCTGCATGAAGCAATTCCAATAGGGTACTCACAATATGAATTTACATGTAGTGTATTTAACCTCTTCAAAGGACTGAAAATAATCTATAAGATTTGTAGGTAATAAGAAACAATGATGAAAAAGATCATGCAAATGAAGATTATATAGATATGATACATTAAAATTAAAAGCATGACAACTGAAGCCATACTGACTGAAATAGCTTAAGTACCTCAAATGTAGAATAAATATCCCTGTATCAGTACTGAGTAAAGTAATGAAAACACTGGAAAGCCAACAAGTACTTCCAGGAAATTACTAAAAACAAACAAGAAAATGAGAAGAGATGAAAATTACAAAAGAAAACAAAAATTAGAATATTACCTTGAGGAAATTCCAAGCAATAAATTGACTCCACAAGGAAAGAATACAGCAAAAGAAAGAAAATACAAATATAGTGAATATCATAATAGAAAATTTGTCAAAATTGAGGCTGGGCTTTGTTCCTTCAGACAATGTGTGATAATATGCAATGAGCCCTGTGTAGAGACATAAAAGACTCTAAACTAACAAGTTATTTTTATAATTCAATGTGTGAAACCTTCAAAATTCAAAACTGACATCTCCGAAGTACTCATTAACAAATCCTTTTATTTTGTAGTCTAAATAACTTTTACTCATATTTCATTATTACCCGTGGTTATTTCTCCAATCTCTCCTGGTGAGATTTCTTTTCTTAATTATTTCACTTGGTCAACGTCTGAACAGAAGTTCTGGACCATTTTCCTCACTTAAATCTTAGGTAGAGAAAACAAAAGAGATGTTTACATGGTCAAATTTTTATCATGACGATTACATATGGTACAATACTAGGGAATAACACAATTTATCTGTAGAGATGGAAGGATTTTTTATTCTTAATTCTGTTTCTGTTCATGAAGTGTATTCAAATGTATTCTTGAAGTGTATTCAAAAAATGGAAGTTTTTCTAATTTCAAGAAGGCCTCCTTCCTCGAGTTATAGGCTCCTGGACTGTTTGTCCAAGGTGATTGACAATGATTACATTTTTGCTTCTTGCTTCTCTGTTCAGTTTGGTCATTTCATCTGTACCTTGGAATCTGTTCATTTCTCCTGGACTCTCACCTTAATATTAGTTTTCAGAGTAGCGCCAAATATCCCTCTGAATTCAGCATCTGGTGCTGTGAGGACAGCTCTTTCCTTTCTGATTGCCTTGGCAGGGGACTGCCTTTCTGGGCACGGCTCAGAAAGCCTAGGCTAAAGGGAAAGACAGCGGCAGGCCCCGCAGGTCGCTGAGGGGCAGGAGGAAGCAATGCAGGCCCTCGGAGAGAGCCAAGCCGAGCCCGGCCGAGGAGGGGTGGAGGGAAGGGGTGCTCACCCGAGGTGGGCCGAGGGAGCCAAGCCGGCACCTCAGGGTCCAGCCCGTCCAAAAGCAGGAAAGGCGGCCAATGAATGGGCAGTGCACAGAGACTCAGGCGCCAGGGTGAAGGGTTCAAACTCAAAGCCGGGCGCCAAATCAAGGTGAGAAGACAGCTGCACATGTGTGCGCCCAGAACAACTGGTCCTCGTGTGTCAGAAGGTCCTTGAGTCCAGTGAGAGAGAGACGGGTAATCCAAGGCTGCGGAGACGGCCACCTTTGTTTTCTTTTTCATTTCAGTGTGGTTATGTCTTGGGCAGTTCCACCTCCTCGGGTTGAGCTGAAGAAGTACAACCTCCACCAAGAGGTCTGAGGAGAGACTGCAGGGACTCCAGGCCGAGGAGTGGGACCCTGAGGGCGGGAGGTACACCTGAGGAGGGGGCGGAGGCAAAGCAGACAGAGGCCCAGGCCTGGCATGTGGGATCCTCAGTGCCCTGAGGGTGCCAAGGAGAAACGGAGGGACCTGAACCCAGGCGGAAAGGACCTAGGGGACTCCGGCCTCAGGAAGCACGGAGGGACACGAAGAGGCACGAAGCGAGTGAAGCAGGGGCGGAAGATCGCGAGGAGGCACGGAGGAACCGAGCAGGCAGGGTGGAACCGGAGGAAACACAGAGGAGCCCGAGGAGGCACGGAGGAACCTGAGGAGACACGGAGAAACCGAGCAGGTAGGGAGGAACCCGAGGAACCCGAGGAGGCACGGAGGAACCCGAGGAGGCACGGAGGAACCCGAGCAGGCACGGAGGAACCCGAGGAGGCACGGAGGAACCCGAGGAGGCACGGAGGAACCCGAGCAGGCACGGAGGAACCCGAGGAACCCGAGGAGGCACGGAGGAACCCGAGCAGGTAGGGAGGAACCCGAGCAGGCACGGAGGAACCAGAGGAGGCACGGAGGGAACCGAGCCTGGCGAGTGGAAAGCCCAGGAGGGACCTGAGCCTTGTCAGAGAGGACCGAGGAGACTCGGGCAGCCTCGCAGAGGCATGGAAGAACCCGAGGAGAAACAAAAGGACTCCAGGCCTGGTGGAGAACTAGGCAGCATGCAGCGACTGAAGAGGCGGGAAAGGACCCAGGGCTCTAATAGTGGACTCCCACGCTCGGGCAGGGGCACCCTTGTACTGCCTGAGGGATGCAAAGCCTCGGGGAGCGACCCAAGACCGTGCAGCCAGGCATAGCGAGGCCTCGTGGGCCCCCAGTGGTGTGCGGAACCCTGAAGGGCAAGTGTCACTAGAAGCAGTGAAGGAGGAGGACGTTTGGCTTAAACCCGGGAACACACTGCCTGGCACCGTGGGGTGTTCTGGACTCAGAACCGAACCAAGGTACCGACCGACAAACACCGGAGCACACGGATCACCAATTGAGATTTTAGAATGAGCCTTTATTAGCTGGCCAGCGACTGACTGAGAGCCTCCACGCAGGGTAGGATCAGGTCCGCAGCAAACCAGGCGTGAGAGCAGCTTCCAAGCCAAAACAACCGCATCCTGCTTGGCAAGCGAACTTCCTGTGTAGCAGTCTTCCCAGAAACTATAGAAACCCCAGGAAACTTACAAGGGAACGATACGTCTCAGGGAGTTTCGAGGAGTGGCTAGAATGCGGAATGAAGCAGGTGGGAGAATAGGGTAATCAATAATCTTTTTTTCTCATGTTCTTTGTGAGGCCATGCATGTCCCTTGTGAGGCCTTTACATGGGGGAGCGTGATGGACTGGAGAAGAGTCTTCGAAGAAATTAAGTTGAAAATGCCAAGATTCCAGGCATAAAAGTAAAGAAATAAAAGCAAACAGAAGAAAATACGGACAATTCACCCTGAAGGGCTCATTTATTGTCACAAGACTATTCCCAAGCAAAGAAGAAGAAAATAGAAATATGCCATACTGAGAACATACATTCACATGAAACAGGTGACTTTCATCCTTAGAGGTGATTTCGAAGTTCACCCACATAAAATAAAACGAACATTTGCTGTTGTTGCTTCTTCAGTCCATATGTTATATGTGGTTTTTAAAGCTGGGGGTGGTGGCACACGCCTATAAGCCAAGCATTAAGGGGGCTGAGGCAGGAGTATCACTACAAGTTTGAGGACAGCATAGTGAGTTAAAGGCCAGCTGAACTATATAGTGAGACACAGTTTCAAAAGACTAAATAATTTTGCATGTTGGTTTCTATGAGAAATGTGTCTTGGGAATGTTTGAAATCAGTTTTGAAGTTCTACAGATTCTCTACTGTCCATCTGCTCTTTTGAGTCAGAGAGAAATTGGACATCTTTCTCACCTTCACTGACCAGTGTTGCCCATATCCAGCTAAACTGAAGCATCAGGGAGAACAGTCCATGGGCTATCGTGAGTCTCTGGAGCACATCTGATAGAGAAAGAGAAATTGGCAATTTTCACAGAGTGTAGGTTCTAAGGAGCCAAAGGTAAACTAAAAAAAAAAGAACATTGAAAGCAATGGGGAAGGGATTGGCACAAAACAGTATCACAAGCCTTAAGGGAACCAAGCAAGAGATGGAAATAGGAGGAGAGATTTGTTCTTTTCATTTATTTTCTCTCTAGAGCTTTTTAGAAAATAATTGAAGAGTTCCGTTGTCTGCTCCCTTTTTTATTTTAAAGAAAAAGGAACAAAGACAAATTAACAAACACAAAGACATAAACAAAACAACACAGTGATACAGAATGTCAAAGTGATAGGAAATTAACAATTGTTATTGTATTACATATTGTTATCTACAAAGTGATTACTCAGATAACCAGATACAGACATTTAGATTGATCAAACAATTAAACATTAACTGTTCCTTTCAATAACCCAATAGAAATTAGTAGTACAATTATCTTAGCTACCTTGTGTATATATATATAGTTTTTCCCTTTGTCTTTCTTTGTTTCTCTTTTCCCTTATTCTAGTTGCTCTTTCCTTTCCAGCAGTTTCTTTCCCTTTCACAATGTCTATTGTAACTTTCTGATTTTATTTACTCTTTGAGATTCTTACAATATGGAGGCAATATGATGTTTACACATGTGAATCTGATTTATTTCACTGATGAGTGTGGTCTCTAGTTGCATCTATTTACCTATAAAAGTCTTGACTTTTTTATTTTTTATACCTAATACTACATTTAAAAAATGCCACGTCAAATGGTCACAACTAGAGACCATACTCATAAGCGAAATAAATCAAACATACAGGTGCAAGCACCACATTGTTTCTCTAGTGTAAAGCCTGAAAGAGTTAATTTAAACTAGGAGATATGACAGACATTGGGAATTGATAGGA